GACTACTGAAAGTCTCGAAATCTAATTGTTGCCGCCAGTTGTAATACTATAGATCTAGGTTTGTCTATACTAAACAAGAGTGTCTTTTTCTGGGGCTTTTCTCCCGTTCACTGCACAGTTATATAGTTTCGTCGTATATCTAGAATACGTCATTGGACTTCCTGGACTACTGAAAGTCTCGAAATCTGATTGTGGCCGCCAGAAGAACAATGTTCTCTTGAATTCTTGTCTGAACTTCAATGAGAAGATGACATAAAGGATCGGGTTGATGCAGCTATTGCAGAATCCAAACCAGGGAAGAGCTAAGTCTAATTTCAATGGAATTGCTAACGAGACATCTGGTGCCTCGGCTCGTATTATTTCACGAACGTGAAGTGGAAGCCAACAAAGTGCAAAGGTGACGACGACAGTGATTAACATTTTAGTGGCTTTTCTTCTGCTCTCTCTCATGGAGCGATGACTTACGCGGGTGACACTATTCTGATCTCCTGGTGGTCGACTCCGCCATAATTTATAACCCGACATTCCGTAAGCAGCACCAATCAGAATCAATGGAATGATATACGTCAGGCATAAAAAAATAATGACGTGGTCACGTGGGGACATACCCGACGTTTCCCAGAATTCMGCGCAAATGTATACTCCGTCCTGAAATCGTACATTAGCAACGATAATCAAAGGTATAGAGTAGGCAATAGATGCAGCCCATACGGATAAAATACTCCATTTAGCAACTTTCATCGTAAAGTATCTTTTCATTGGTTTCATTACTCCAAGAAACCGATCAATACTGATAACCAACAGAGTATAGACTGAACTAAATATGGAAATCATTTGAGAGGAAATTATTAGCTTGCACGTGACGGTTCCCATGACACCCCCAAACCACTGAGCACCGACGAAATAATATTTGATTAAATATGGATATACAAACGTCATTAAGATATCAGCAGCGGACATGTTGGAGATCAATATATTTGTCGTATTGCGCATGTGCTTGCGCGTGCGCACTATGTGGATCACCGCACAGTTACCGACCATGGAAACAACAAAGGAAACCACTCCTAGAATAGTCAGTCCAACTTGTACATCCAGGATGTCAGGCATTGCGTTGTTTTCTGAAGCAAATAACATATATATAAAAAAACAGCAATTAAAAATCTTAGACGACACGGGCTAATAAAATAACGTCTCTTTCCCCGTACCACTGTGCATCAGTTTTAATTCTCTTCAACGGCTTCCAAATGTACTTTCATTTTGTATTCATTTTTTTTTTGAAAAACATAGATGAATGCGGAACGAAAAAGTAGATTAATAGCCGTTCCGTAACTTCCCGTAGCCGTATTAAACAACGCGTAGTGATTGGATGAATTAATGGAAGACAATGGGAAGCCATATCAATGTTACGGTATGTCGTTCATGACTGTGTACGTGCAGTAATTCAGTACCATGCGTTTCCACTCGTACAAAAAACCGCTCTATGAAGTCTAATGATCGTCTTGCTAAATATTTTTGTCTAGCGACTAACGGGGTAGGCTAATGAATATGGTTGCGGAATAACGTCTTATGTGAACTTAGAGGTTTATCAATTAAGCACCGTTTAAATGTGTTTTACACATGTGCGTATACAGCTATTTCAAAAAAGGTTGAATACTGAATACTGCATACTGAATAGTGCATTTTAAGACCGAAGTGCATTGTGGGTCTCGTTAATTTGAAATAAAAAAGTAAATATACAGCAATTAACTCTCTACATGTTAGTTAGTATATTGTTTCAGATGGAATACACTAAAAATAGAATAAATAATTATTATTAATCCTACTTTAGACAATGTCACTGTGACCCACAATGCACTTCGGTCTTTGAATGCACTATTCAGTATTCAACCTTGTTTGAAATAGCTGTAATGGCGGGCAATGATTTATGCGAGAGGTAACTAAAACAACCAAAACAAGAAAATGGACTTTAAGATCTGTTGGCCTTCTGTTCGCTTTTGATTACGACAAAACTATTTAGCTGGCGAATCAATCTATTTCACACAAATGGAAGACATTTCACATCAAACAAGTAAAGCTTTTGATGCAAAATGCATCTTGAAAATGCTCAAAGGAGGTGAAATTGTAACTGGTAAAAGATCAAGTCCATCAATAGTTATCATGCGGTTAACACATGTAAAAAATATCTACCAATAATCATTGCCGGTCTCCGCTCTCGAAGTTTTTCAGGTGACTTACTTGATTGAGATAAGTATATATCAATTTTTCCACAGGGCGATAAGAACAAGCTTAAAATCATATAAATTTGATTGCAAAGGGTGTGGCAATACTTGAAACAGAACTATTTAAATTTGGGATGCATGAGCGACGCGGCCGGGCGAGAGCAATGTCAGAACACTAAAAAAATACCAGTTGTTCAAAGGCAGCNTTTATGTGTCTGTCCTCTTATTGACGATAAATTTCGCCATCACATTGTCAAAGTAGTATGCGGATCCACTCGGCTACGCCTCGTACACTACTTTGACAATGTGATGACGCAATTTCTCGTCAATAAGAGGACAGACACAAAAAAATGATGTCTATTTGTTAATCTTAGACGACTCGGGCTAATAAAATAACGTCTCTTTCCCCGTACCACTGTGCATCAGTTTTAATTCTCTTCAACGGCTTCCAAATGTACTTTCATTTTGTATTCATTTTTTTTTTGAAAAACATAGATGAATGCGGAACGAAAAGGTAGATTCGTAGCCGTTCCGTAACTTACCGTAGCCGTATTAAACAACGCGTGGTGATTGCATGGATGAATTAATGGAAGACAATGGGAAGCTATTTAAATGTTACGGCACGTCGGTCATGACTGTGTACGTGCAGTAATTCAGTACCATGCGTTTCCACTCGTACAAAAAACCGCTCTATGAAGTCTAATGATTGTCTTACTAAATATTTTTGTCTATAGACTAACGGGGAAGGCTAATGAATATGGTTGCGGAATAACGTCTTATGTGAACTTAGAGGTTTATTAATTAAGCACCGTTTAAATGTGTTTTACACATGTGCGTATACAGCTATTTCAAAAAAGGTTGAATACTGAATACTGCATACTGAATAGTGCATTTTAAGACCGAAGTGCATTGTGGGTCTCGTTAATTTGAAATAAAAAAGTAAATATACAGCAATTAACTCTCTACATGTAGTTAGTATATTGTTTCTGATAGAATACACTAAAAATAGAATAAATAATTATTATTAATCCTACTTTAGACAATGTCACTGTGACCCACAATGCACTTCGGTCTTTGAATGCACTATTCAGTATTCAACCTTGTTTGAAATAGCTGTAATGGCGGGCAATGATTTATGCGAGAGGTAACTAAAACAACCAAAACAAGAAAATGGACTTTAAGATCTGTTGGCCTTCTGTTCGCTTTTGATTACGACAAAACTATTTAGCTGGCGAATCAATCTATTTCACACAAATGGAAGACATTTCACATCAAACAAGTAAAGCTTTTGATGCAAAATGCATCTTGARAATGCTCAAAGGAGGTGAAATTGTAACTGGTAAAAGATCAAGTYCATCAATAGTTATCATGCGGTTAACACATGTAAAAAATATCTACCAATAATCATTGCCGGTCTMCGCTCTCGAAGTTTTTCAGGTGACTTACTTGATTGAGATAAGTATATATCAATTTTTCCACAGGGCGATAAGAACAAGCTTAAAATCATATAAATTTGATTGCAAAGGGTGTGGCAATACTTGAAACAGAACTATTTAAATTTGGGATGCATGAGCGACGCGGCCGGGCGAGAGCAATGTCAGAACACTAAAAAAATACCAGTTGTTCAAAGGCAGCTCATTACGATCATCCAATTGCAAATAAGAAGATGATGGCTAGTAAACACTAGCGTGGACTGCGTCGGTGTTTCTAATGAAACAGTTATCGTAGATTGATAAGTTATACACCGTAGTGAAAATGGGAACTGACGTTACGGACGTTAGTCCTTCGTCGGAGTCAATTGATTGACTCCGACGAAGGACTAACGTCCGTAACGTCAGTTCCCATTTTCACTACGGTGTATAACTTATCAATCTACGACAATTGCAAATAAGTTATAGATAGTACAAAAAAAAGATCGTTTTAAAGCCGTACTCATCAGAATATAATAATAATAATAATAATAATAATAATAATAATAATAAATAATAATCATAATAATCATAATAATAAACTTTACTTCAAGAGGGAACATTTAATATTTTACACTGATGAACCTATGGCCGTCATTGATTGACGTCTAGCAATACCTACAAAGCGTGTGATTGAAAAGCGCTGTAAAACCAAGGTATTCCACATCCTCTAATTTAGTTTTTGAAGATAGAACTAGTTCTTCTTACCTGCTCACCTTGTCTGTCTTTATATTTTTCAGATTAATTCATGGGAATTGTCAAGCCTTCTCAGTTCAATGCCTGACGTATTTATAGACTAAAGTATGAACACGCAACTAGTCACCGGCAAGAGGTAAGAAGAACAACCCGAGTAATTTGTCTTACAAAGCTCTAAATAAAGCCTGTACTAGCCGAAGCTGGCGTCTTATATATAACTGGTATTTATAGTATTTGATTTGRCGCGCCTGGAAGACTTATCTTGACAATGGGAAATCAGACAAGGTAGATGGAAACATAGTTAATAGAGGAAGGCACCAGCAATATTATATATACCATTGAAAAATCYCTGTGATCAGACTTATTAATTAGATCTAAGAAGTACGCTTTCTGAAGTAATTAAGATACTCTGAGTATCAAGTAAAGCACAAAAAATATACAAAAGGAAAGAAAAAGAAAAAGCGCATTAATTGTAAAAGAAAAAGAAAAAAAACACACGGGAAATGGGAAATAACTATGTCTTTCAATGCGGTTTTCGGAGTTGAAACAGTGTTGGACCGTTCAGTTCCATTAACACTGAAAAATAAATATCTTCCTATATTCTAAACATCGTCGGAAGCAGATGATTTTAATCTGTTTTTAATTGTGAAGAATCAGCAAGTTGCTTCACCGATATGAGAAGAAATTCGAGAACAAAAAATACATGAACAAAAACACAAAGCCAAAACAAATAAAGCAAACGACTTTGATCAAGTCCTTGTCAATCGTSAAGTCGAGAAAACGTAACAAGATTCTCTGATATCACATGAATAACATGTTTTTCACTAATATACCTGTTCAAACTGATTTGATTTAGTGGTTTTCTAATACAGTAAAACACGTGGTCATAACCCTTCTTGTACGTCACTCCTAGTTAATCCAATTTGATCGATTTTTTTTTTTTTTTTTAATTACCAAACTGCAAAATTTTCCTTTTCTTCATTCGGAAAAAAATACAGTATTTTTAAAATGTTATCTATGTTTAAGTTTATCTTTTAAGACACAATCGAACGATTTGCCATTAATGAGGCTTATCCTTACTCTAGCGAGAGAGAATTCATCAATCAGACAAGGTATTTTACGGTAATCTATAATAACACATAGCGCGAGTCAATGAAAAGCCGTGTCTGTCAAAACTCCTTTTAGCGAGTATTGAAACAAATAACAATTTTTTGCCYGTTTTTTTCCCGTATACTCGGTCCTGTCCATTCAGTATAAATATTTCACCCTTTCTTCGTCGATTGAGTTAGTAATCTTATGTCTAAATATCTTACAATAAATAGCCAAATAAAGACTAATACTAAAATGTAGATCTTTCAGTTGATATTTGACGCCATTTATATAAAATGTTYATAAAAAGGTGATGAATAAGAAATTAATAGAAATTTCAGAATTTTTTGAAATCAAGTTAAATGAAATTTATTTTTGCTTAATGACATCTCGGCTCAAAAAGCTGTGCGTGTTTGATCATTGAGCTTCATGTTTATACAGCGTTAATCAAATAATTATCACTAGCTTTCTGGTTAAAATTTCTGCTAGTCAAACGATGTCCTTTGCATCAGCTGTCAACAGCTGTATTAAAAGCATTACTCTTTATTTAATAGAGTACGTAGAATAGTTTCTATCCTATTTCCAAAAGAAAATTAAAGTTGCTCCATGATGTTGTGATGATATTGAGAATCACAAACTAGAGCGCTTACTATATACTCTTTGTCTAACACTCCTTCCTCCCTTACCAAAACTTTATTAGTTTTTTTTCAATTAATACTTCTCCACAACCATATTCTATTCTCTTCTTAACCTTACAAATTATTTACTAAAGGTGTCGTTTTCATGGAAATTTGGTATGTTTGGAAATAATGTAAACTGTCAACACAAAACTAAAGTCAGACCTGGCTTAGAAGGTCTTTGAAGGCCAGACGTTTTCTACAGTAATAACAAGGACGATCAGTATTCGTCAGTTATTCTAAGTCTGTTTGCTTTTGCTATAAATTAGAAATCCTCCACCAGGAAAACAAGGCTGCAGGATCTATATYGTGTTGTACAAATTTTCAGATAGTCAAGAGAACTTCGTATGTGATCAAAGCGGGTGTGAAATGAAGCTCATGAAAAAGTATTGACAAAGAACAGCAAAGTTTCAGTCATCGTTTTAGAGACAATCAAAATTCCACGATTATTGCGATATTTTCCAAAGGGGAGGCAATTCTTGTCCAAAAACATAGATTCGTTTAACCTACCTTGGTTCGCTGCTGTGGTGTTATTTATCTGTGAAGTCATCTTCGCTTGAAATCAGGATCCCAACGTGATATTAAACTGTAAACTGCTTCCGAGTGCTGCGAGATCAGACGGAAACAGATAATACATATGACGTCAGTTAAGAGGACACTACATTTGGTACAGACTGGGGGAGGGGTAGGTGCCATTCTTAGACGTGTTAGACCAAAAAATGTACCAAAACTGCTGGCAACAATGGATATATATATATATATATAACTATGGCGAGGAGTACTATTTCGTGRCACTTTTCGACGTGCTTCACTAAAAACTAAAAATACGTACCAAAACTGTCTGCAACTTTTGGCATCAAAATGAGCATGATAAGAAGTGCTATTTTGATAGTAGTTATTCCAAATGAGAGAAAATCCACAGGAATTCAGGGATGTGCGTCATTTGGAGAGACAAGAGACAGCATAAGGTCAAACGCCTCAAACAATGGAAGCGGGACCGACATGGGACCGCCTCTACAACTCCGTGCCAATTATACTTGAGTGCTACAGCTGATGATCAGTTTCCCGTTCTTTGCCATGTAGTCACTACAATAACAAGCTGTCCAAACTGACTGACTATTTTTATCAGTGTTTTATTCTATATTTGTTGTATACGATTCTGCTGTGCAACCATGTAACACCATTCTCCTAAGTACCCTCCCCACWTAACCCAGGYCCTTTTCAAGTACTAARTAAAAGTGGGCCTTCKTATTTGCCATTCTTATTATGGAGTSCAATTTACAGCTTTAGCCAGTWCAGTAWYAGTGATATTTAGAATAAAATRRTAAATCCTATCTCTCTTAATAGCTTGTAAAAATCCTTTTTACTCCATGTCCAGTCAACTTTCGCATCTTATGGTTGAAGTTGAAAGAGGGGCTGGAGACAGCAAAGGGGGGGGGGGGGGGGGGGGGCACAAAGAGATGGTGCCTCTGAGAGGATTGGTTAATCTTAATGACGTCGCCACAAAAATACTCCGACCCTTAAAGGCGACAAATAGTGACCACTCCCCAATCTATCACACTGGTCGTAGATAAATAAAACTGCACGTACCTTGGTATTGCGCAGCCCTGTGTCCTTAGGAAGCTTTAACACCTCGTGTAAGTATTTCTTGATCAACATGTTGGGGTTGCCGCCACCAGATGACAAGAACGTAATGGCAATATTGAGAGATGACAGTGCCTCGCATACATCCTCAAGCCGAGAATGATACTCATGGATGATTTGATTTTGGATTGCCAAGGATAGGTCAACCTGGAAAAAAAGAAACCAGAGTAATTTTAAACCAACCTTTAACTCAAAGACTTCCCAAAAGTACAGTCAGCATCATCATCATCACCATCATCACCACCATCATCATCACCATCATCAC